AAACCCAAATTCCAAAAAATTGAATTCCATAACCCTCACACTAGCCACCATTATTGAAAACCACAATACAAAGAACTAAAAACCTATAAAACCCCTCATATAATTGATGAGCCATAAGCACACAGAACTACCAAACCTTAATACTATATGCATATCTAAAAACAGCCAACTCAAGTAAATTTTAACAAAATCATGGGTAAATATCAGAGACCATCAAGATTTCAGAAAGCCAGAACCCCAATTCAGATATCCAAGCAAATTAAAAGAATCCCAATCCAAAATCCCACACATTAAATCGAAAACCATAGTTCAAAGAACTAAAAACCCATCAAACCCCTTACATAATCGGTCATCCATAAACACACAGAACTAAGAACTAAGGCATGCTTTCATTGCTTCCGGGTTCCTAGCTTTCAATTGCATTGAGGAAGGTGATGTCCTATGGTCCACAGTTTACTACTTGCACAGGTAAACACAGAACTCAAGTAAAATTTACCAAAATCATGAGTAAAAATCAGATCCTTGACCAAGATTTCTGATTCCAAACCAAAATTCAGATTTCCATCAAACTCCAGAACCCTCACACTAACCACCATTATCGAGAACCATAATACAAAGACATATCAAATCCCTTTACATATTCGGTCAGCCATAAACTACCAAAGCTCAATACTCTACCTGCTCAGCTAAAACACAGCAACCTCAAAGCAAACTTTACCAATATCATGGGTAAAAATCAGACCTTGACCAAACTTCCTGAATCCAAAAACCCAAACTCAGCTTACCAATCAAACTCCAAAACGCTCACACTAACCACCATTACCAAAAACCATAATACAAAGAACTAAAAACCCATCAAACCCCTCATTCAATAATCAACCCATAAATCCACAAAACAACCAAAGTTCAAAACTTGCACAGCTAATCACAATAAACTCAACTAAATATAAAAAAAACAAATCAAACCTTGATCAATATAGTGTCACCACGAAAAAGCTGAAGCTTCTCCATAGTATCAGGATGAATAGCAACAACAGAGTTATCATCATTGGTTGCTTCATCCACCACAAGTCGATTCGGCGACTTCTTCCTCTCCAAAATCGCTGTACTAAAATCCCTCTTTGTCCCTTTACTGCATACACACAAAAACACATTTTTTTTTCACAAAATACCAAAAAAAAAATCGAAAATCTAACAAATCGTAAAGATCTGGAAAAAGGGTACTTACGAATCGGAAGATTCAGCTTTGTTAGTCATGATTTTGCAGAAATTGAAGAGTTTTGATTTGTTTGCGTAATATTTATAAGAGAGAAAAAATCGGCCGAAGTTACAGCGAATTGGGAAAACGAAGAGTTATATAAAGAGGAATATCGCTATTTCTTGTTATCAAAGAAATCTGTTTTTTTATTTATTTTTATTTTATAAATATTTGTTTTTAATAGACTATAGAGTATATAATTTTCCTTTTCATTGTTTAAATAGGAAGTAAACACTTTTTATTTTACTTTTCTTTTAAAATAAATAATAAAAAAATTCCTTTATTGTACTTTTCCTATTCTAATATGAATTATAATGTGAACTTTTAGAGTATGCGTAAAATTTAAACTGATCAATAAATTAAATTAAAAAAATATTATTAGTTTATGATTATTTGATGAATGGGTATTTAATGATTTTATAAAATAAATTATAGGGTTATCAATTCGATTGTAATTTTAACTATTAGTTATTATTTTTACTTTTTAGTCTTCAATTCATATTATTGTCCTAATTTGTGTTGCACTTGTATTTAATAATAATTTATTCAATTCAAATATTTATTTTTATAATTAAAAACCGATAAAACAAACCAATAACACAAACCGACTATTTGCAGGTTAGTTTGGAAAAACAAAAGGACTTGGAATATAACAATACTAGCAATCATAAATAGATATTTTTTCAGTTAATTTCTATCAGAATAAACAAACAACAACAACACCTTACCTAAAGTTAATCTATCACTTATAAATAAAAAAGAAATACTAATTATTTATGGAGAAATCTCACAAAATATTTTTTACACAAAAACTGGAACAATATGTATGACTTTCATATGTGTCTTTTTTTTTTTAAAGCATCTACCTATTATAGGTTTAATTATCATGACGATATATTACATATTTTTACTATTTAAAAGTGAATTTAATATTACCTTGTTATGTGCAACACCACTCTCATAATATGCGATGTATTATGCTTACTACCACATCAACACTACATCAGCGCCATGTTGAAAATTGTATTTTTTTTATATCTTTTTTTTTACATTCTTTTCTGGAAAAATTGAAATTCCATACATATATACCTGTGAACATAAACTTTCACATATAGCAAACAAAAAATTCATATTTGTATGCTATAACAAACTTTGCATAATTGCGCTCCATACCAAACATAAATCTGTATAATTTGTTATACATATACAATTGTATAATTCGCTGACCTATTTCGCTGCAATTGTATAATTTGTTTTGCATACA